GCTCGGGCTTGTTCTATTCAGCTTTTAATTTCTGCGGTTGGATCCCAGCTCTCATCTCTCATAGATATTACTGCCGAGATACACGAGTTTCTCTACCCTGTCCAGTGTGGCATCTCCGACTTTTATACCGTCATCCTGTACCGTATAATTTTGTTTGCTAACTATCATATATTTAGTTTTCTTAACGTTGAGTTTTAATCCTTACTGATCACAAGTCTGTTCTATTTTGTTCATTAGATTTTGAAGGTCTTCTGCAATTGGCAAGGACTAAGATATCGTCGGCATATCTAATATTGTTGACGGTTACTCCATTCACAATAATACCTTCGGTTGTCTCCATTAAGGCTTCCTTAAATATTTCCTCCGAATATAAGTTAAAAAGTAAAGACGACAATATACAGCCTTGTCTCACTCCTCTTTTTATATTTATTTCATCCGACAGTTCTTGTAGGATTAAAGGCATATATACAAAAGTATATGCCTTTAATTTTGAAATATTGATCATTTTGTCCTAATAGACCACCGTTGTGTGGTCATGTAACTTTTAAAAATATGTACTTCCATATATTGGCTATGGATTAAAGTCATGTTTAATGCAGAATAGAGCCAAAATAGAAGGCTAAGAAATTTGGGAATTGAGTTAATAAAAAAATAAATAGGATTCGTAGCCTCGACGTCAGGTTTACACTCATATATTTAGTCTGCAATTGCCAAATACGGCGTCTCTAAAAGTCTAGTAGCTTTAAGTAACGAAAGTCGCAGCTGCTGCAATTTCCATGTCCGACATGTAGACGTTGGCTCTAAAGGAAACAGACTGATATTGTCCCAATACTCAACCCAATGTGTGGATCGACCCTACTGTCTTTTCTATATTAAATTCCCCATTTCAGTAATTGTCAAAAGCGAAGAAGAGAAAGGAACAGTGACCTCTGAATAGGAAAATCCTGCGAAAGGGGTAAACCATTTTTCAATATTGTAATGAACTTCTTTTTGCTGATGCTTTAAAAATGTTTATAAATATAAAAAAATAATGATTGATTGCCTTAAATTACAATTAGACTTAAATAACTTATGTTTAGAAAGAGTAAATATTATGAAGGATCTTGAAGTATACATTGATAATGAATTATGACCTAATTATCATATAAATAATATTAGGAATAAAGCAAGAAACAAGATACACGAAAAAAGAACAAACCATGGATGGCAGAAGAAATTCTAAACATGATGGACAAAAGAAGAAAATACAGAGGTAAAAATGAAACAACATACAAAAAATACACAAGAATATCAGAATAAAGATCCAACAAGCTAAAGAAACCTGGCTAAGTGAAAGATGCCAAGAAATTGAAGAGTTGGAACAAAGACATGATACTTTCAATCTACATAAAAAAGTAAAAGAAGCCGCTGGAATATTTAAACAAACTCCTACGTCTTTCATCGAAGATAAACATGGGAACCCGCTACTGAACATAGATCAAATAGGTAGATGGAGAGAATACGTGGAAGAGATGTTTCAAGACCTAGAGAGGACGAACATTTACATGCAGGAGGCATCGACTGGACCTTATATCACAAAGCAAGAAATTATCAAAGCGGCAAATCAGATAAAGACCGGAAAAGCTGTTGGGGAAGATAATATCCCAATTGAAATAATAAAGATATTACTAGACGAACAGATCGAAGTAATGGAAGATATATTTAACAAAATATACGAAACAGGCATAATACCAAACAATTGGCTGATATCGGTGTTTATACCACTACCAAAGAAGAGAAACTCCAAGAAATGTGAAGACCATAGGATTATTAGCCTGATGAATCATATGTTGAAGCTTTTCCTACGAGTAATACACAATAGAGTATACAATAAACTAGACGAACACACTGGTCAAACTCAGTTTGGTTTTAAGAATCGGTTCGGAACAAGAGAAGCACTTTTTTCTATACGTGTGCTAGTTGAAAGATGTAGAGATGTCGATTCTGATGTATACTTGTGTTTTATAGACTTTCAGAAGGCGTTTGACCTGGTGAAACATGATAAACTAATAGATATTTTAAGGTCATATATCGACGATAAAGACTTAAGGATCATTTCAAACCTCTACCAAGAATAAAAGGCTAAAATTAGAATAAAAAGCAAAACATCTGGAAAAATCAATATCGAGAAGGAAGTAAGACAGGGATGTGTCCTATCACCTTTGCTGTTCAATGTTTACTCTGAGAAGATATTTCAGAAAGCTTTGGAAGGCACCTCGGATGGTATAATTATAAACGGACAATGTATAAATAACCTGCGATATGCTGATGACACTGTCATACTGGCAGATAATGCTGAAGCCCTGCAACACTTAATGGACCGAGTAACGACAGCCTGTAGAGAATTTGGAATGAAATTGAATACAAAGAACACAAAAACGATGGTCATCAGCAAGCACCAAAACAGAAGGGTGAAGGTCAATGTCGACGGAACAGATCTGGAAAGAGTAACAAGAACAACGTACCTTGGAAGTAACCTTGATGAAACTTGGGACCACTCACTAGAGATAAGAATATGCCTGGAAAAGGCACGTACAATGTTTTACAAAATGCAAAAAGTTCTATGCAATAGCCAGCTGGGCATCTCATTGAGAACTTGAATACTTAAGTACTATGTTTTCTCCACCTTGCTCTATGGTGTTGAAGCCTGGACAATGACAGAAGCAACAGAAAAAAGAATCCAAGCATTCAAACTCTGGTGTTACCATAAAATGCTCAGAATATCCTACATGAGCCATACGACAAATGCGGAAGTCTTGCAGAGGATGAATAAGGAAAGAGAGCTTATACTTATAATAAAAGAACGGAAAACACAATATTTTGGAAACATCATAAGAAATCAAAAGTATGAAATGCTCCAACTTATAATCGAAGGCAAAGTCAATAGCAAAAGAGGACCAGGAAGAAGACGCAACTCTTGACTTAAAAACCTACGGCCATGGACGAACATGACCTCCATAGAACTATTCAGGGCTGCTACAAATAAGATTAAATGAACAAATGTAATGGCCAACATCCTTAAGGATAAGGCACCGTAAGAAGAAGAAGAAGATAAAGCAACAAAGAAGTTTGATTTTGTGAATTATATTATTACAGGAGTTTTGACATATCCCATGCTTAAAAATGTTATAGTATGGCCAGGGTTGGAGTGTACTAGTCTAATATGTGGTCTCCACATTATGCTGTATATTATAAAGGTTCTCTGGAAAGACAAAGGTAATTTTTCAGAACAATGAATTTTAAGCTAGCTATACCAATAAATGATATTCACTATGCTGTATATAGTTGATTTAATTTACACACATAGACGTTAGGAGAACTCAGTTTACTATATTCAAACAAAATTATATAAAATTATCAACAGTCGAGATTAAAAAGTCAGCATGAACTATTTGCAATGGTTTCATAGGATAAACTACAGTTTAAATAGGTCTGTATCCAGAAAGTGTTAATTGACAAACCCTCAATGCAAAAATGTAGATAGTGATTTCGTCACAGTATTCCTAAGTTATGGAGAGTTATAACAAACCACTAAAGAAATGATTTGTCGAGGCTGTGTAAAATTTGTCGGATTTATGTTATTTATTTATATTCACTAATATTTAATTTATTTGTTATATATTTGTTCATAACTTTTAAGATATTATTTTTAAATTAGTTTTAGATAAGTAATTGTATTAAATGGCTTTATTTATACTCACTTTTGTAAATCTAAAATGTTAACTGCATTATTAAAGAAGTATATTGATTAATTATAACATCTAACAACATATAACATCTTCAAATGGTTAACAAAAAGTTGATGAGGCAAAAAATTATGATGTAGCACCACTACATTACTGTGAGACTTTCTGTAAAAAACCTTTGCTCTACAGATTAGTAGATAAAGCACAATTGAATAGACTGCATTCTACATAATAAAGCAGATCTACTTATTCTGTTTAATGGAAACTTGAAAAATAAATTATGATGGATTATACCTTAAGGCTGAAATTTGTCAGCTATTAACTCAAACAATTTATACTCTTCAAAAATACTTGTTTTATCTTCTTAAATAAATTGAATATTACCATAACTATAAAAAGTGGTCAAGAACTCGAATCACTGTGTGTTATTGTTGATGTTTATAGCTATGAGTAATTGTTCATAAAATACTGGTTTATGAATTATTGAGGGTCAATGTCCAATAATATGGTTGGAAATTACTTTCATCATTTTACAATAACTATCTATCTTATATTTTGTAAATAAAATTGTCTGTGTCTGGAATATTCTTACTAACAGGTTTATATTTGCTAGCAATATGACCTCAGTCCATTAGAAAGGAATAACACTTTTGAATTCTACTGTATAAGTATTAGATCTGGAGTATCAAGATAATACTGCAATATAAAATTGTGCAGATAGCACACCAAAAAGTACATGAGCTAATTTACAATACAATTAACAGAACTTAAGTCAGTTGCTACAGATACCGAATAAGACTGTTTGCAGAATCAGAGAAAACTTACTTATACAATATACTCTGAAGTAAGTGACATATGAATTTGAGAATTATATGTTTTGGTTAGACTAATGTTAAAAATTCTTAATGGTCAATAATATAAAATTTACATGACTATAGCAAAAAGTGCTAGAAGAAAAGCAAACAATACCTACCATGATCTGGTTGAGATAACTCAGCAAACAACAAAAAACGTGAAACAAAATTTTTTATAAATGAAAAAAACTGTTAAAGATGTAATTTCCAACTACCACCTGCTTTGAAGATTACAGCTTATTCCATAGTTTATTTACTTTTTGAAAACATTTATTGACAGTACAAACCAGACGTAATAATTTGCGAATGGAGGTCGATTTCTGTTTAGTAAGTACTCCTTATTAGTGTCATAGTCATAGTGCCGATAAAAGTTACTATCAGTGGGGTTAAAACTACATTTAAGATAAAAGCAAAAACATACCATTGTTGTGTTGAGTTCACTTGGTACACAAGATAATAACACTGTAAAAGCTATAATAAAATATTTCGCATAACCACTTGCTTTGAAGATTCCGGAATTTGTTTACTTTATCAAACAACGTTTGCAAACATTTTTACACTTACACACTACAAAATGAAACGTCATTATCATCTGGAGATATTACCAACAACCAACGCGCCGCGGTTGGTTAGTTACTGGGTTTCTCCGGCAACGATATACAGCGTTGCCGTTAATATTTGAGTTTCAGTAGTTTTCAGATTTTTATTATTTTTTTTATACACGACATCGACACATGAAAACATGTGGGACATTTCTTTCAATAGGTCTCTCCATTTTCCAAATGCACTTTAACCTAAACTTCGAGGTAGCTAACGTGAGTTACTCTTCTGTTCTCGTCTGGGTAGTTCACATGTTTTATTGTTTCGCGATAATCATATTTTTTAATGTCAGCTAATAAATTTTAAATAATAATTGTATCAATTCCACGGTAAAAATTCGACATCTTCGGATCCTATCGACAAAAATCAAAAAGCGTTTTAAAGGTAAAGACTGCAGCATTCTTATTGATATTTTTGCAATTTACTGCACACTTCAGTTGGTTCTTATGTTTTTCTGACGATTGGAGTATAAATTAATTGATTTATACCAAAACTAAAGCATCTTTGGGATTTGTTAATGACGTTTTGTTAATGAATTTTTGACGGATTGTTCGGTTCGGAGCCGGGACTGTGACGAGACGTGACGAGACGACCTTTAGCCGATCTCTCGGCTATATATCAGCAACTATGCATGTTATAACTTTAGGAGAAAAAATGCCTTAGTAAAAGTGGCCAAGAGAAATCGCTGGAAATAACTTTCAAGTTTCTGGGTTAACCGCTAGGGGGCGTAACCTGTGAAGAAAAATTTGAAAACCAGTTTTTTGTGAAATATGCCCAATTATATCAAGTGTTAAATAAGTAAACTAGAAAGACGCCTCAATTCCGCGCTAAGTTGTTCAAGTACTTGTTTTTTATTTTTTTAAATAAAGGGTGGGGAAGAGTGGGAAAGTATTTGTGGATAAATACCTATAACTTTGGTTTGGATCAATCGATTCTAACGAAATTAGTGTAATTAGAAAGATTGTGGATGAATTAATTTATATCTACTATAAAACAATTGCATTTAGTTTTAATTGTCGGGTACTTTCAAATAGAAAAAATTAAAATTTGTTTTTCTTCAAAATGTTTAATAGAAACACCTATTCATTGTAAATTATAATGGAACTGGATTAAATTTGTAACAAAATGGCTCAAACTGCATTTTGATAGCTTTTGTCTAACTCGAGATATGAATAAAAACGCATAAACATAAGTAAGTATAGTATTGACTTACCCTTTATTATAACTTAAAATTAAATATGTGAAAGATCATACAACTATCTCGATCATTAAAACTTAATGTCCAATTAAATGTTTAAATTGTTTTCCATCGTTGTCCACACAAATATGTAATCTTTCGGGCGTAGACATAACAGCCGCTTCAATCTCAGCTGTTGATAGAGTTTGGTTCAATCTTTCCCACAGATAAAAGTCCAGACATGTTAAGTCTGGAGATCTAGTTGGCCATGAAAATATACTTCCCCTTCAAATCCATTTATTTGGATAACTTGCTTACAAATAATCTCGAACTCGTCTAGAAAAGTGCGCAGGACACCCGTCATGTTGTAATATCATATCTCTTCTTGTTTTGTAAGGAAATATCTTCCAATAAAACAGGCAACTTCCAGCAATTTTTCTTGGCCACTTTTACTAAGAAATTTTTTCTCCTAAAGTTATGATATGTTACAAACGTGAACAGTTTCTGATATATAGCCGAGATATCGGTTTATTTGACCACCCAGTACTTTTATAAACTTAAATTATATGGATAATGTAAGAAACTATTCCCTATTGGGGAGTTGACCAGTCTGACCAGTAACGTATTATAAAATTCTTTGTGCTCTTCTGCTAAGTAAGTGTTTTCTTTAAATCGCCATCTTCCCTTTCAAAATAGGACACTTACGGCGTGCCGCGCCACTGATAAACAGTAACCATAAATAGTGTTACGATTTTAAATGTTATGGCATATAGAACTGTAAATATTTTATGACTAATTCTTTTTATTTATTCTCGTAATTTGTAGGTCAAAATATACCTGAGCTTAGCTACCAGTTGTTTACCAGAAATCTCTAGACACTAATTTTGGTGAGTCATCCACGTCTCGAGGTTGAAAAACGAGTCGAGCGCCTTCACCAAAATACGAGACTATTCAAGAAGTCCGCCGAATTCTCTGGATGACAACAGTTGTGAATATAAATGAAAGATTTTTATTTGGCAGTCAGTCATAAGAAGCTCGGCAACCGCGATATTTAAAATGTAACGAAACATAAATTATTATTTGTAATATAAATTAGAATTAATAAAGACAAATAAATTAGAACTATACAAACGTCACAGTGGTGCAGAAGTGGGATCGTAGATAAATTTAATTTGATTTTTGAAAAAGACTTTTGAACTTTTGAAAGGTATTGTTCGTCGGGAACATCCGCGTAGTTCAGTAGTGATCGTTGTACGAAAGAACATTTAAAAAGTACGTGTGTGCCTGACCAAAGATGCTGCTAGTAGAACTTTCAGTGAAACAGTTGCGTGAGCAACTAGAAGAACGCGATGAAGACTGCAGCGGGTCCAAGAAGATCCTCCAAGAACGACTGAAGACTGTTCTCAACAAGAATGGAGACGACCCGAAGACAAAACCAGAACGCGTCGGCCTTAGGGGAGCAGCTTCGACCCAGAACTTTACCAAAGACCCTCTGATACTAATAGCTTCTTTGAAATGTCGTGAAGATAGTGTATATGTAGATGGAGAAATAAATGGTAAAAAGTATACGTTGTTGGTGGATACCGGAGCGACCAGAAGCATTATACGCCCGACAGTTATAAACAGCCGAAAGAAACTGTTACCAACGAGATTGCGACTTCGGACCGCCACAGGTGAAAATGCCAACATTCATGGAGAAATCCAGGTACAATTAGGAATTGGAGCAGAAAAGTTCGTCCATACTGTTATAGTTGCTGACATCGAAGAGGATGTTATATTAGGAATGGACGTAATGAATGCGCATGGATTCCAATTGGATTTTAAGAATAAGGTAATCAAAGTTGGTAACGAGGAGGTATTTCTCCATCCACATGATGACAACACTATGCAAGCAGCCGTTAAAGAAGATACAGTCGTGCCTGCGAGAAGTGAAACGATAATAGTAGCGCGGCTACAGGGAATTGTGGACGAAGGAACACCTGTTATGATGGAACCTTGGAATCATGACGACGAAGTTGGCCGTGGAATCATAATTGGAAAAGAATTAGTGACTTCGGCTAAAGAAATTCCTGTGAGACTTATTAATGTCAATGACTACCCAGTGACCATCAAGAAAGAGACAAAAGTAGGAACTTGTGTACCTGTCACATCCATAATCCGTCAGACAACAACGTCTGATAATTCCAACGATAAATTTGATCAAATGGTTGCAGTTGCTGGACAGTCTCTGAATCAGATTGAGAAAAGGAAATTAAGGGAATTTCTTCGGCAGTATCGTGATATTTTCGTACCGAAAGGAGGAAAGACGGGAAGAACTACCGTTGTTAAGCATAGAATTGATACTGGGAATGCTAAGCCAATTCGTCAAACAGCTCGACGATTACCACAGGCGAAAAGAGAGGAAGCTGAAACGATTGTTCAGGAAATGAAGAAAGACGGGGTGATAGAACCTTCTACGAGCCCATGGGTCTCTCCGGTAGTCCTGGTTAAGAAGAAAGACGGAACAACGAGGTTCTGTGTGGATTACCGTTTGCTGAACAACGTTACCAAGAAAGATAGTTATCCTCTGCCTCGGATTGATGACACATTAGACACATTGGCTGGAAGTAAATTATTTTCTACTTTGGATTTGAAGTCTGGATACTGGCAGGTAGAAATGGACCCGGTAGATAAAGAAAAGACAGCCTTCACCACAGGATCTGGATTATGGCAATTCAACGTTATGCCATTTGGACTTTGTAACGCTCCTGCGACATTTGAGAGACTTATGGAAAATGTGTTGAGAGGGTTATCTTGGAAAACGTGCCTAGTTTATCTAGACGACATAATCGTCTTGGGGGAGACATTTGAGGACCATCTGAAGAATTTAGAAAACGTTTTTAATCGACTTAAAGCTGCCCAATTGATGTTAAACCCCAAGAAGTGCCAGCTATTTCAAGGTAAAGTCAATTATCTGGGTCATATAGTCAGTAAAGAAGGAGTGGCCGTGGATAAGGGAAAAATCGATTCCATTAAGGAATGGCCAAAACCAACTGACAAACATCAAGTGAGAAGTTTTCTTGGACTATGTACTTATTACCGGAGGTTTATTAAAAAGTTTGCAGATATCGCTAAACCATTAACGCGACTTACAGAGGAAGCAAGAGAATACCGCTGGGATGTAGACTGCCAAAATGCCTTTGAGACCTTAAAAAAGCATTTAATCACAGCACCGATTTTAGGGTATCCACTGCCAGAAGGAGAGTTCATCTTAGATACAGATGCAAGTAATGTGGGAATTGGAGGAGTGCTGTCCCAGATTCAGGGAGGACAGGAAAGAGTCCTTGGATTCCGTTTTGTTGCAGTGAGAACACTCTGCTGGGCATGGCCTTCTGGAAAGAGAATCAGCGTTTCGGTGGCTAACTCCGGCCCGGTGCTCAATCTTAAAATCATATTCTTGGAGTCGTTCGATCCACCTGGCTATCTGACCCTCTGGATTCTTAAACTGCATCAACCACTTAAGGGCGGCATGGTCGGTTCAGAGAAGAGAAGACAGTTGGTGATTCCAAAGAGCAGAATAGCCGAAGTACTTCGTCAGTTACACGACAGTCCATCAGGAGGGCATTTTGGTGTGAAGAAGACCCTTCAGAGAATTCGGGAACGGTTTTATTGGATGAACAGTTCCGACGATGTAAAAGACTGGTGTAAGAAATGTACTATTTGTGCTACGAGTAACGGGCCTTATCGAAAAAGGAGAGCTCCTATGAGACAATATAACGTTGGAAGCCCGT